ATTGAGAACCCATGAGCTAATTTCCCTAAGGCAAAAATATGACATAAGGATCCGAACTTACACCAAATTCGCAATTTTGAACCTGAACTTCAATTGCGCTCAATGAAGGTCCCGAACTTCACAAAATTCTCAAATAAGGTCCCAATTGGACGGAAAGCTAACTTCCGTCAAATCCCTTACAAACACCGTTAACGCTGTTAAAGCTCCACCGAACCGAAACACAATTGGACAAAATTCTGATGACATGTCAATTATTTTGCCATATGGATGCCATGTGGACATGAATTCTTGGATTTTCTTGGGCGGGACTTTCCCCTCTAGGACTTTTTTCTTTTTGGCAACTTTTTGTTTCCCTCCCATGAAAATTTGTCGATTCTCTCCAGCTTCCAAGATTATTAAAGTCTGAGACAGGAAAAAAAATCCTATTTCTTTTCCCTGCAATGTTGTCCTGTGAATGTGACTTTTGAGGGATTTACAAAACGTGGTAGGGTCTTCAAATACAGCTTCAGAGATTCCATAGGTTCTTTGTGGGTTCTACTATTTTAGGTACAGACATGTGGCCATGTTTTTAATTGTTTAATGAATTCAAGTTATGTAATGTGGTTTCTTTACTCTTTCTCTCGGGTTCTCATGATTTTTTTACATTTGTTTTATTTTTTCAATTAATGGGATGCATAGATGGTAGTTGTTGTCTTTATTCTCACAATAAATTTTTACTTTGTGTAGTTATGTGTGAGATAGTGGTTTAAGTATATTAATTTGAGTTATTGAATCTGATTTTACAGTCCATAATGGGTGAGAAAACATTGACATTTTTCCATGGTGGATTTTTCCTCCATAGACTTGATTTACGGTATATTGGAGGGGATAGGTATGTTCAAAATGTTGATGAAGACAAGATTAGTTATTTTGAAATTCGAGGCATTGTAATTGATGATTTGAAGCTAAACTTTTCAAGATTATATTATAGTATACCGCAACTTGGTTTGGAGCAAGGATTATTTGAAATTCGTAATGATATTGATGCATTAGAAATGGCAGAACATTTAATTGAACACGGTAATGTGAATGTTTATATTCACAATGGGCTTGGGCATATGCTACTTAATGCACCTCATAGTATTCATGATGTTATTGAAATTGATGATGATGAGAATGAGAATGAAGATAATGAAGAAATTGGTAATGCAATTGAGGGTGATCATAGTGATGACGAAATTGATGGTGACTATGTTAATGAAGCTGTTGACATATCTCAATTAAGTTCTAATGAAGAAAATCAAGTCAATGAATCAATTGATGTCCATTGGATGAGTGAAGATGGGGACCACATGGATGCTACCAATTCTAGTTTTCTTGGGGGTTTAAATGTCAATTTACATCATGCTAATCTAGACCAAAGCACCAGAGATGGATTTTATGTGGAAATAAATGTTCTCAATGATAAAGATGATGACGAATTGATAAATGCATATGGAAAACAAGCTGATTTTTGGAGGCAAACACATGTTGCTTCTTCTAATTGCTGCTTATTGGATTGTGATGATGTTTTTGAGGTACCAATAGGGGTTCATAAGGGCAAAGGAAAGGAGATTGCAGAAGATATCAATGGTGAATACAAGTTGTCCAATTCCAATACATCTATTGCTAGTTCTGAAGGAGAGAGAGACTCGGACTACATTGACAGTGATGATCCAGGAGAGTATGTATCAGATTCTGGTAATGAATTCTTTGCTATTGATGATGCTCTTAGGCAAAAAACTTCATGTCTTGTTTATGACCCCACTTGTGCTATTCCACATTTTGAGCTTGGTATGAAATTTCAAAATTATATCCAATTCAAGAAAGCTGTTGCCAAGTACTCTTCATACAAGGGGTTTGCTCCTAAGTGGTTAAGAAATGCTCCTGATAAGCAAAGAATTAGATGCATGGCTAAAAATTGTCCATGGCATATTTCTGCAACTTATCAGAAAGGGATGGCAACTTTAAAGTGGTAGCTTTGGTTAGGGAGTATATTTGCCTCAAAAATATGAAAAATCCAGCAGTCACCGCAAAGTTTTTAGCTGAGCATCACAAAATGAGAATTCGGACAATATCAAGGATTAAAATCAGTGAGCTAATTAAGTTTAGTAAGATTGAGTGTAATGCTATCATGCAGAAGTACAAAATGGCAAGGGCAAGAAAGATGGTGCATCAAGAGTTAGAAGGTAATTATAAAGATGAGTTCAGGGTGTTGAGAGGTTATATAAAACTGCTAAAGGAAAGTAATCAAGGCACATCTGTCCATTTTGAAGTGACTAAGGCCCCGTTTGATATAACAGTTAACGGTTTAGGTTAAACCGCTAAATATAAGTGTTTGGTAAATTTATATATTTCGAAACCGCCATAAATAAAGTGTTTGGTAAAATTTTTATTTAGCGGTTTGAGACTAGCGGATAGCGATTAGAGTCCAAACCACTAGCGGATTGAAAAAGTTAGTTTATGTAGCTTTTTGTACCAAACTGTTAACGGATTAAATTTTTTTTATTTTATTTACAAATTTATCCATTTTAATTTTTTAATTTGTGGTCACATTTTTTAATTAATAATTATCTAATAAATTTCAATTTTGTTTTTTTACCTTTAATAACATTAAGTGATTATAATCTTTTTTTT